CCATCCGACCAAGTGACAACCAAGAGCCCTCAATAGACCCCAGTGGCCCTAAACTTCCACTCTCCAGCTTCAAGAAAATAAAACTGGAGTCTCAAGCACTGAAGAAGAAAAAAACAAGAGTACTGTGGACACAAGTTAAACCAAAAGAGATACTTAAGTCTGTTGCTCAAATATGTTTGAGTCTCTGATCAGACACTAAAAAACAGAATATTCTATCTGTTCATTTAGTATTTTACAATAAAGTAAAGGAAATACAGTCCAAAGAGCTCTGGGGGTAGACAAACCTGAATCTGAGGCTCTGGCTACTTCTGAGCTTTGGTAATGAGTAAGACACAAATTCTATATCCATCTTGTAGTAGTGATGCTGGGTTTTGTTTAATTTGTTTAATTTTATTAGTACTTATATCTGCAAATACTACACCACATCCTACCAGAGCTGTACCCAGTACAGTTCTAGAATGTTACAAGGCACTCCAAAACCGTGACTATTACTGTTAGTACGTAAGATTCTAAAAGAATACCACACAAAGTCAAACACATTTGGATATAGACAGTATTCGCCAAGTATTTTACTGGTAACGCGGATATGAAAATGCAGACCGCTGGGCTAGTGGTATGTCTTGGGAGTAAAGTATTAGATCCTTTATAACCAAAGGAAAAAGGAGGGAGGGAGGGAGGGAGGGAGGGAGGGAGGGAGGGAATTTAGGGACTACATTTCAGAAGGTATCACAAGGAAGACTGGGCTCTTTGTGTTTCCCCATAAAGCAAAATTCTCAAATTTATATTTGGAGAAGCATCTCCTGTGGTTCCTCAACTCAGATCATCTTTAAGTTTTATTTCCCTTCAATTCTACCCATTAATTTCAAAGACGGTGGGGGGGGGGGGAATAAGGGTTTAAGTATCTATTTACTAGCTCACAACTATAACTGACACTCCTTTTTCCAAATACTTCCTTACTATCACAATAAAGACTGGGTATTTTGAAAGTTACACAATAACCCCTGATCTAAAGTTGTGTGTAGGATAAAATATTAAAACGATTAATATAATTTCCTCTTTACTCGCCAAATGGTGCCTGACTAATTATTTTACTTATTCCAAATGGATTAATAAAATACCCAAAACCCTGAGTATTTTATATAAGTTAAATTTTATCTATTTATCCACACTCTTATTCAAGGCTTATTCACTTAATACCTATAATATTAACGTTCAAAAAACATGAAGATGTGGCTCCTACTTCTAAAATAAATATCTGTGGAAGGGTCACATATTCAACAGCTGCAAGCATAAATGGGGACCCATGGGAGGGGAGATTACTATTTTCATCCTTTCATGGATCTATAACTTGATACTACCATCCTGTGAAATAGGATTATCTTTTTACCAATATATTCAATTAACAAGACAGTTCAGATAACCTGAATTTTCTGTCCCTTGACTGTACTTCCCTCAAATGTGTATTAAATTTATTGTTACTGTAAATTAAGGTAGCAAAACCATAAAAAGTTTCAAAGACCAAACATATACACAGGAAGAAAGCTGAAAAAAACATTTCCTCACCTAACCAATACAGCTGGGCATAAAACAGTTTGATAAGCAGTATTCCTGTAACCACTCTCTGGACCCATATCTCAAGCAAACATCACTAATGAATACGTGGCATTCTTCCTCTTCAATGCCTTATCTGCATATTAGCCACTACCTACTGGACTACATTAGCAAAATGTAACCTATTTGACATCCTTTAATAAGGTCAATGGTGAAGCAAACTGCCCAAAAGTTTTGTGCAACTAGTCTAAAATGAGTTTTTAATCTTAAAACAAGGGAAGCTCACGAAGCATCTTCTATTACCTGATCCTCAATATTCAGTAAGGAATTACCTCTCTATACACTGGGGCACAGATATATTCCGTTGGCAGAATGCTTGTCTAGTATGTAGCAAGCCCTGCATAGAATTCCCAGCACAGCATAAAGCTGTCCATATCGCCACAAGTCCATAATCCTAGCATTCTGAAGGGAGAGGTAGGAAATTCAGAATTAAAGTCATCCTCAGTTACACATTTGAGTCCGAGGCCAGGATAGAATACCTGAGACCCGGTCTCAAAAAGCAAGCAAACTATATATACATATACTGATATTTACCATGATCTGTATATATGGGGTGTGTGTGTGTGTGTGTGTGTGTGTGTGTGTGTGTGTGTGTGAAAGAGAGAGAGAGAGAGAGAAATTATATGCTTAGCTCAGGGTCACGCAGTAAGTAATAAACAGCTTTGGTCAAACCCTCACAACCCCATAATGCTTTTTTACATGAGAAAGTCTTGTGTATCTATCTGTGTTCCGATACCCTGGACCATACAATATGGCACAAAATGGTCAGTCCAAAATTTTCTGAGCTCATCCTAGAGATCAGACTATAAGGAACTAATCAGTATTTCAACTCTAACAGGCTCTTCTTTCTGTTAAAAAAAAAAAAAAAGTAAAAGATAAAATTTTGAGTGATCAACTAGTGTTTAAAAGACACAATCCCAAAGAATCATACTCTTTTGAAACATTACACAAATAAAAGAATAGAACCAAAAACTCAAGAGGCTACTACAAAAACCAGCTTGGTATTTGGGGTTTGTGGCTTTTCTCCCCTCAACTCTTCCATTGTCCTGTGTAAATACTAAACCATCTTTTTTTTAACTGTCTCCCTCTAATCAAAATTTAATAAACCTATATACAGCATTTAAATGTGGAGCGTGGCATGTCTTACGACTTTCAGGAATGTGAAGTATTTAGTTTCCTTCTGTATAAGATTACATTATGTGACAATAACATGCTGTTCCTAAAATTAAAACATCTGACAGATCTTAGAACAAATACTCAATACTGTAAGATACTTATTTCTTCTGAGTTCTGACTAACTTAAATAGAAATTCCTACTCAATATTCCTATTTCTGGATGGTCTTTGAAACACTAAAACGATCCTTCACTTAACTTGAAAAAAAAATTCCATTAAAAGGTTAACATTTACTTCCTACAGCATCTGAGATTAAATACTAGCAAAAGCCCTTTCTTAAACACCAAAATATTCCAATAACTGCTTCCAGCACTGGCGGTTTTTACCTCATACCAGGCCATCCTACCCTCACAGCTAACTACCTAAGTAACTGCTCACGCCCAAGCTGCACACACCACCTACCAAACAATCCAAAGTCTTTCAAAGTGAAAAACTAGCTGATCCTCTTTTCTGCTCTTAAATTATTCAAAATCAGCCTACAAAGAATTACTGTAGACTGCTCAAACATCTTAGACCTGGGGAGGATGTTCTAGGTTCACGCTACTGGAAATACTGCAGTGTGATTTCTCTATAACTAGTAAGAAAGACAGCAAGAAAACAGCTTAAAAAAAAAAGAAGTTACATTTTACTGGAAACTAGAACTTTTAAGTCCAGACATAATTTACCTGACAGACAATACTTCGAACTTTAATATATTTTGTTCATAATCCTTCAGATAGCTTTGATTGCAGTTTAAAATACCCTACTTTATTCTGCATTTTTAATGTTAGGAAAATTATTCCAAGTCTGAAAAAATAGGATACTAACATGTTCTATGAGACCTCTATAGCATTAAATCACTAAAGTAGTAATAAACAGTATGCAATATTACATGACAGAGCAGTCATGTATTTTGTTAACAGTTCCTGAATGTTCAAGGCCACCAGTAGCTTAAGAAAAAATGCACAAAAATGTAACTGAAGTTTCTCACCCTGCATTTTACAAAGATAAATCTTGGTTTCTGGTTTGTACGCCATAATTACTTTTTAAACATCTGAAATAGCTTTGTGAAATCACTAAGGAAAAGGGGTCAGTTAGCATTAAGCAAAAATCTAAGACTAACATAAACAAAGATCTGACATTTGGAATCGGAAAAATTCATAGTAAGCTTAAGTGAACACAACACACAAAACACTTAGAAGTGAAACGGGACTGTGTTCAACCTTGATTGGGGGGCGGGGGAGGATATAAAAACTAAAGTTTAAAACGGGACTTACTTAAAATGGGGGGAAAATTCCAATGACATAACATTTTCATGCCATAGAGAAGGCATTTGTAATTGTATCATTCAAATCTCGTGGCATTACATTATAAAGGTCTTGGCAACGGCTGGCCATTAATCTTTAACACAAAGGAGATTCAAATCCAAATGAACTGAAAGACTATCTCAGGAGAAAGAAATGGAGTAATTTACTTCATCCTCGATTGTTTAACCCAAAACGAAGGCCTTCAAGGATGATAACGCAAAATGGATCAGCCTTCAGTCTAGGAAGTCCCCTTTCTCACTAAGTCTTGCACCAATCCAAAAACAGGAGGTTATGGACACACCACAAGCTTAGAAAAAGCTTGGGGGGTGGGGTGAGATGGGGTGGGGGGGTTCCTCCAATGAATGACACACCACATCATGGTTTTCTTCTCCTACACAACTGGAGAAACAAAAAAAAAAAAAACGAAAAACCTCACACCATATGTTTCATCGTATCAATCAAAGAGCGTTTCACGACGGTACACCCAATCCTTTCCCTTCGGGGCTGGAGGAAAGAATCGCTGTGCCGATAACCGAGGAAGGGAAAAGCTGCGGCTCCTGCTGCAATGCAACACAGCCCTGCTACAGAACGGGAGAGCAGGGCTTTCCAAACAAAACCCTCCCCCGCCCGGGCTTACAAACCTCCAACAACTTATCCCAGCCTCTCCCGGGCCCCCGCCGGGGGAAACCTGGTCAGTTCTCCCCCTTCCCCACCGTCCGGACATTTCACCTTCCTCCGCGCCTCGGCTTCACCCCGACCAGAGGCACTGGATTCCCCGCAGCGGTTTCAGACCTTTCAAACTTTCCTCCCCCACCCCCCACCCCCACCCCCTTTTTTCTTTTTCTTTTTCTCTCTCTCTTTTTTTTTTAAATTCACTGCCTCTTTGTACCAAAAGTACAGGCGATTTCTGCACAGATACGGAAAATACCTGTCTGTCGGCCACCACCACTCTACGATGGTCGAGCCCCTCCCCATCTCCTGGGTTTCGCTAGCCGAGGCTGGGGGGAAGGAGGGAGCAGGCAAATTAAACCGAGGAAGGGGGATCCTGGGGGGGAGCAGAGCATCTGGGAGAACACGGAAGGAGCCCCCCTCCCCCAGAATCAGAAGGCCAGGGCAGCGGGGGGGAGCGGGGAGGGGAGGAGAACCCCGAAGGGACAAAAGGGAGCGGGGAAAGAGCAGGGAGAGCCTACGCGCCGGGCCGGGGGGCAGGCGGGGTCCACGCAGAGCGCTCGCG